TCCTTCCTTTGAAAGGAATCTTGGCACAATGTTAACAAGAACTCATCTTTCCTGTGATAATATCCATTGATTTAATTATGGAATTTGCATTAATAATTACTCTAATGAAAAATCCACAATTTTTCTCCTGACCAGTCCTGCAAAAAAAAAAAAAATGTTTATAGTTACTGTAAAAGTTGAGCCACCAAAGGAGAAGGAAGGACTCACTGGAGAAGAGCCTAATTCTGGGAAAGATTGAGGGCAAAAGAAGAAGGGGACGACAGAGAATGAGATGGCTGGATGGAGTCACCGAAGAAGTTGGTGTGAGCTTAAATGGATTCCAGAGGATGGTAGAGGACAGGAAGGCCTAGAGGAACATTGTCTATGGGGGTCGCAATGGGTTGGACTTCGCAACTAACAACAACAACAACAAAAGGTGAGCTGTCCACCCTCAAAATCTTACAAAGGCAATTACAAAGTTTGGAGGAACCTATATAAACATTTATAGTGAAAGATAGCAGTTATTAGTTTGACAAGTCAAGAAGTTGACTTTCCATTTGCTTCCAGGATTGAGTATTGATTACACCAATGTGCAGGTAGTCCTTGACTTACAACCATTCGTTTAGTGACTGCTTGTAGTTACAACAGCACTGAAAAAGTGATTTATATCCGTCTTCACACCGACGGCCGTTGCAGCATCCTTATAGTCATGTGATCAAGACTTGGATGCTTGGCAACAGGCTCATATTTATGACGGTTGCAGTGCCCCAAGGTCATGTGATCGTCTTGTGACCTTTTGACAAGCAAAGTAAAAGGGGGAAGCCAGATTCTTTTAACAACCGTGTTACTAACTTAAAAACTGCAGTGATTCACTTAACAACTGCGGTCAGAAAGGTTGTAAAATGGGGTAAGACTCAGTAAGGGTCTCGTTCAGCAACAGAAATTTTGGGTTCGATTGTAGTCGTAGGTTGAGGACTACCTATATACGCCACGTGGACTTAGCTCATCTAAATGAAGTTCCCCTACATGCAGTGATGGCTAACCTTTTCCAGACCGAGTGCCCAAAGTGTGCATGCATGCGTGTGAATGCGTGCACACATGCCCAAACCCCCAAATGTAATATGTGTATGTCCCCCCACATGTGCCCCATTCTTGCACATGCATGCACACACAGACCCTGTGCAGGCACTGTCCCCCCAGACATGCACTCCTGCCCCCTGCGCATGCATGGCAGAGACCCAATGACCAGCTGGCTGGCAGGGGGTGCATGTGTGGTGCAGCTGAACTAGGGCACTGGATTGCGTGCCCACAGAGGGGGTACTGCATGCCACCTGTGGCATGCGTGTCATAGGTTCGCCATCACGGCCCTATGGCTAAATATTTAAGGCAAACCTTGACCAGATGAAATTGTCTTCCTTGCTTGTTCACTCCTTCAATTGCATCTAAAGATTCCTTTACCCAACCAAATGTGTTTTACCGAATGTGTCAACTTCGAGTCTTAAATTTCTCAGTAATGGCTCTGAATTTCTGGGACGATATCCTGTTTAGGAAGGCTAGATCTAAAGTTCTTAAAAAGGCATCTCCTCTTTTCAGATTTTCTACATTTTTGCATATCTTTGCTGTAACTTGTTATCAAAGCTTCACATGGTCCTATTGATAAGTGTATAAAAAGGAAGTCAGAACTATGTTATAATAGCAAGGTTTGGTCCTCGTTTTATTTATCTAATGATAAAAACCAATGTGCCAAGCAGAGTATACTTTTTCACTGGACTATAAATCCGGTGTCCCATTTGGCATACACTATATTGGTTTGCAAAGAAGAATAAGCTAGCATCATTTAGAAAACTGTCTTACCAGCAAACCAGTGGCCCCATCTATTTTGAAGGCTAATTCTGCTGACTGCCCACTGCCAGCAGTTCGGCAGTTCACCGGCTCAAGGTTGACTCAGCCTTCCAAGGTCAGTAAAATGAGGTGCCAGATTGCTGGAGGCAACATGTTGACATGCTGACTCATGTTCCCAGCCCTCAGTCCGTTGAGCGGTACTGAGCTGTGGCATGCCAGAAACTGGGTCGTGCAAACAAGCGAAGCCATATCCGTGGGATGCAGACAGCACACAAAACCACGGCCCTCTGGTCCACGGAAAAACCTCTCACCATGAAACTGGTCCTTGGTACCCAAAGGTTTGGGGCCACTGGATTAGAGTGCACTGCAAAACACTGTGAAGTGTATATAAGTGCTATTGCTATTAACAACTATCTTGCTTAATAGTGGAAATTCTGGTTACATTTGTGGCCATAAGTCAAGAATTACCTGTAGTAATTTCACTAAGTACCGTGTTTCCTCGAAAATAAGACTTATTTTCTTTTCACCCCCGAAATAAGCAGTTGGCCTTATTTTCAGGGAGGTCTTATTTTTGAGGTGCAGGAGGCAGCAAGCGTGATCACCTCATGGCTTCCGCTGTGTTGCAATATTTTTTGGGAGGGCTTATTTTTGGGGGAGGGCTTATTTTAGCGCATGTGCTCAAAAGCCCAATTGGGTTTATTATCTGGGGGAGGTCTTATTTTCGGGGAAACAGGGTAGTTAAATTGTTTGATGAAGCATATGAGAGCCAGCATGATATAGTTAAATGGGATTTGGCATTTGATGTGTTGCATTAGGACTCAGAAAATCACCGATTCAACTTGGTCAAAGTGAATGATCGGAGTTTATTTTGGAGAAAGATTTAGGCATGGAGGATGGGGATTTAATATGGGAAGGGAAGACCATCATCTTTTTTTAGATTTATAATGGGCCATTTTCAGGGACTGGAAGGAATTTTAGAAGTCTGGATACAAATTTACTTCCTATTGAATTCCTGTTTCCATTTCTATTCTTGACACACACACACCCCACACATCCCAAGTAAAAGAAAGAGATGAAAGCAACACAAACACACACAGGGAACTATTTTGGATTGTAGAGGGCTTAAGACTCAACTCTTTGCACTATTTATGTAATAAGCATTTGCCATTGAAATTCGGTGGCAGAATCTCAAAGGGCTGCAAACTAAATGGTTAAAATAAAGATAATTCTGAAAACTAATATTTTGCAGCATACTGGCTTCCCAGTTCACTTTTTAAAAAAATTTTTAAAAAAAAACTTAAAAATGGAACTGAGAAATATCAGAAAAGGTATGCTTCAGAGTCCATCTTTCTTATACTGATCATTTCACTACATAAACTGAGATTAAAAAGTAAAGATTATTCTACAAAAATATGACTAGATCTGTAGCATACAAGGATCTATTTTTGTTGTTTTCAATTTTTAAAAATT